CTGCTGATGATGATGAGGATGATGATGATGATGACGATGGTGCTGATGCCGATGATGAGGATGCTGATGATGATGATGATGATCATGATGACGGTACTGCTGCTGCTGATACTGGTGCTGCTGATGATGCTGATGATGTTGTTGATGATGATTATGCTGATGATGGTGATGATGCTGATCGTGATGGTGATGATGGTGATGATGATGGTGATGATGATGAAGATGATGATGGTGATGATGATGAGGATGATGATGCCGATGACAATGACGATGACGATGATGATGATGCTGGTGATGCTGCTGATGATGATAATCATGCTGCTGCTGATGATGATGATGATGCTGATGATGCTGCTGCTGATGATGATGATGATGATGCTGATGATGATGATGATGATGATGATGATGATGATGATGATGATGCTGATGGTTGTGAAGATAAGCATGCTGCTGCTGATGATGATGCTGATGATGATGACGATGACGATGCTGATGCTGATGATGATCATGATGATGATGATGATGATGATGATCAGGATGCTGATCATGATGATCGTCGAAGAGGTGGAGGAGGAGGGGGAGGAGGAAGTGGAGGAGGGAGGGAGGGAGGAAGGGAGGGAGGGAGGGGGAGGTAGGCAAGCTAGATGCGCTCGCGTCATATCTGACGTCCTACCCCTCCCTCCCATCCCTTACCATGGCGCTGATTCTCTCTATCCGCGGACGCGTGTCGTAGCGGACCTGTGGCTCCGCGCGCGCGTGCGTAGTGGGTGGTGGTGCGCGTGCGTGCGTGCGTGCGTGTGTGCGTGGTTGTGGTGGTGGTGGTGTGGGTGGTGTGTGTGGGTGGTGGTGGTGGTTGTGGTGGTGGTGGTGGTGGTGGTGGTGGTGCGGCGCGGTGGTGGCGGGCGGATGGGCGCGCGAGAAAGAGGCCCGCGCTGGGGCGAGAACGCCATCCTGAACGACGGAGGCCAAACACCGATCCGAAAATGAGGCACACGCTGCAGCGGGAGCACGATTCGGAACGATTCGGGAGCAGAAATGAGGCCGGCGCCTCAGCGAGAGCAGTATTTTGAAAAAAACAACGCAGGCGAAAACCCAACTCCCGGGAATCCTGTGTGTAAAAAACAGTACGCGGGGGGGGGTCTAATATTTTCAGGCCGCCATCGGGGGAAGAGGGAGAGTAGTATTCATATTGAGTAATTGTGAAGGAGGGAGGGAGGGAGGGAGAGAGGGAGGGAGGCAGGGAGCGAGGGAGGAGGAGGAGGAGGGGGAGAATGAGGAGGACCAATGTAAACCCAAGAGTCATCAACGATGTTGGAATAAACCTTCCCTCCTCATACGCCCCTACAGCGGTTCATTTCCATTGAAGGATTTGCCTTTTGGAAAACGGCTGATTGAAGATCCTGAAGCATGCCACAACATTGTTGTCGGGATTCCATCGCCACGGACCAACCTGACTGGTGCGTCTTGACAATCCTGAATCATGCCAGAACGCCGTTCTTTGGACTTCAGCACAGCGAATCAACATAACTTCTGCACCTGCACAATCCTGTATCCTTTCAAAACGCCCTTGCTGGCACGTTGATGATGGGAACCCTTGAAATTCTTATATATATATATATATATATATATATGTGTGTATATACATATCATACATATCAAGAGGAATATGCGCCGCGCTGCGGTGATATCCACATTTTGAAAAAGAACCGCCCTCAATCCGTAAAACTCTTGCACATGTCTAAAACGAATGTACGCCGTGCTAAGGCGAGAACCATATGTTAAAAACCGCCCCCCCCCCCCCAAATGCGTGAAACTCTTGCAAATTTTTAAAACGAATGTACGCCGTGCTGAGGCGAGAACAACATTTTGAAAACGACCCGCCCTTAACCAGTAAAACTCGTGCAATTGGTTTAAACGAATGTGCGCCGCGCTAAGGCGAGAGCAACCTTTTGAAAACGACCCGCCCTCCATTTGTGAAACCGTTGCCAATCTTAAGCGTCAGAGTCACAAATGGTGAGAAAGTCTCAGGCGAATCTCCCGGCCCGCCCCAAAAACTGGCCTCTGGGTGCGACAGGGAGAAGTTATTGACAAGGAAGAGAAATGGATGATGATGATGATGATGATGATGATGATGATGATGATGATGATGATGATGATGATGATGATGATGATGATGATGAGGAGGAGGAGGAGGAGGAGGAGGAGGAGGAGGAGGAGGAGGTCGTCCGTAGCCCTTCTGGCTCAAGGGTCTCGCCGGGCTCTTCGCGCCCCAGGGCCAGCCCATATGGCGACCCCCGCGCCCCCGCGTCGCTCCCAGCGGCTGGCCGCAGGGTTGTGGCCAGGGACACGTCGGCCTAGGGCGCTCTGGGGGACCGCGCCTACAGTCTGACCGAGGTATAAGATCGAGGTCGGTTCGGGGAGGATGCCCTCATGTTTTTCGTGCCTGTCGAATGCTCTTGTCACCTGGGGGGAGGGTACCCTCGAATGTTCTGTGCGTTTTGGCCGACGGAGGGTCTCACGCTCTTGAGGGATGCTATTCTGACCCAGGCCCGACTGTGCTTGATGCAACGTCCACCGCGAAGAGGCGGGTTATTGCCTGAATAAGAAACAGGATGCAAAACGCTGAAAAAGGGGGAGGAGGAGGGGGAGGAGGAGGAGGAGGAGGAGGAGGAGGAGGAGGAGGTGGTCGGTGCGGAGCGCTCGTGGCCGAGAGCCGCTGCGGCGGGCGGCGGCGGCTGCGAGGGCCCGCCGCCGCCGAGGCAGCGGGTCGTGCCGGGCGGGGCCAGGGCGAGGACAGCTGCGCCAGGGCGTTCTCCTCCTCCTCCTCTTCCTCCTCCTCCTCCTCCTTCTCCTCCTCCTTCTCCTCCTTCCGCTCTCAGCGCGGTCCAGAACGCTCCGAGAAGGCCACGGCGCCCGAGACGTCCTCCAGGCCAGAGCCGCCGGATCTCAGAGGCTCTCGAGCTAGCCTCGCCCGATCTTAGCCTCGTCCTGGCTGCGTCCTGAGGCCCGCCGGCTCGTCCTGGGGCCAGCACCGGGCGGCTGCCGCTGCCACAGCGTCCGCGCGCTGCGCGCCTCCAGCGCGGGGGAGACCTGTCGCGCAGGTGCCCGGCCACGGAGCGCCACCGCAGCGCGGGCTTCGCCCGGGGCTCCGCCCGCGCATGGCCGCGACGTCAGCAGCAGCACGGCCTACCTCAGCCACGCGCGCAGGAGGGATAAGGGGAGGGGGAAGGCTTCTCAGAAGCACCCTTTGCATCTCAGAAGCCGCCGGCCTTGCCTGCAGATGTGGGGCCCGCGCCTTCTAAGGAGCAGCCTCCTAAGAGTCCTTTCCCCCTCCCCCTCCCTACCCCCTTGTGCGCGCCGCCATCTACCGGGGGCAGCCGCTCCCACTTCGCGGACCACCTGGCCAACAGCAGAGCCGGGGTCCGGCTCTTGAGGAACGGCATCTTCAGCGCCTTCTTCACCGCCAGGAGGTAGGCAGGCCTCGCTTCGTCACCCTGCTCCTGTTGTACCCGCTCCTCCTCTTCCAGGAGGGAAAAAACACACAGACACAATGAATCGTCGATCCCCCTAAAAATGTAGGAAAACATGGGCAGCGGGGGGGAAGCCAGAAACCCAGAAACATGAGAAATATGGGGGGAATCTCCTGGGATTCGTGTGTACTTCTTTGTGTATCCCAGGGCCCTCCTCCTCCTCCTCCTCCTTCTCCTCCTCCTATTCCTCCTCCTCCTCCTCCTCCTCCTTCTCCTCCTCCTCCTCCTCCTATTCCTCCTCCTCCTCCTCCTCCTCGCTGGGGCGGCAGCGGAAAAAGGAAGAGCCTGGGCGCGCCGTGCGCGAGCAAGGCTTGGCCCGCAGCGGCAGCGCCGCGGCGGCGAGCGCTGGCGGGGCGAGCGCCGGCGGAGAAATGCGGAGAAATGCGGAGGAGGAGGAGGAGGAGGAGGAGGAGGAGGAGGAGGAGGAGGAGGAGGAGGAGGAGGAGGAGGAGGAGGAGGATGAGGAGGAGGAGGAGGAGGAGGAGGAGGAGGAGGAGGAGGAGGAGGAGGAGGAGGAGGAGGAGGGGAGGAGGAGGAGGAGGAGGAGGAGGAGGAGGAGGAGGAGGGGGCCCGCCGCGCCCTCGCCCCTCGCACCCTCGGGGCCCGGGACACTCCCCCAGACGTGCACCAGGTCAGGCCGCTGGCGACCCCCACCGGCGCGGCCGTTTCCGGCATGGATAGGGAGACGAGAAATGACATAAACATAAAAATTCTGAGCCGGACTTCAGCCTCCATTAGGGGAACAAAAAATGGCATAAACATAAAAACTCGGAGGTCCGCGCGGATTTCTCGGATCGGCGCTGGGGCCCCCCGGCGGCGCCTCCGGCGCCGCCCCTGGCGCGCTCCGCGCGCCAGGGAGGGTCCAGCGCGGATCCAAGAAATCCGCGCGGACCTCCGAGTTTTTATGTTTATGTCATTTTTTGTTCCCCTAATGGAGGCTGAAGGCCGGTTTCGCGTCTGCCGCTTTCTTATCCGCGCGCAGGGCCGCAAGTGTCTGTCCAGCTCGCGGGGCCGCCTGCGTCCCAAGGGCTGGTGCGATTTCCCTTGCCGCTGACGAGATTCCTCGTCATCCTTCCCGCTTTTTTTAGCGCCTGGTCTGCTTCGGCTGAGCGACGCAACAAGGAACGGGTCGTCTGCGCAGACTTTGGCGTGTAAGTTGCCTGTGTAAGGTCGCGCGTAAGCGCCCTCGTCAGCGCCCTCGTCTCCATTGTGGCGTGCCGCGCTGGCAGCCCGCGTAAGCCGCGGCGTAAGGTGGCTATGCCATCTCGCGTGAGACCCGTTTTTGATCGTCGCTCAGCTGCTGAGCCTTCTTTGTCGCACGCGTTTTGGCGCGCGTCGTAGGAGGAATTCTCTTGGCCACAGTGCAGGCGGTGCGCTCGGGCGCGCACGGTTTTTGGTTGTCGACTCGTGCTGCGGGGTGCCTCGGAGAGGGGGCCAGTCTGCTGCCCCAAGCTCTCGGGCAGCAGCTTGCAGACATCGGCCGCCCCTGCTTTCCGGTGCTCCCGCTGCTGGAGTCGTGGAGGTGTGTCCACGTTGTTTTGACTTGGAGGCGGGAGGTGGGAGGTGGGGTCGTCCATCATTCCGCCGCTTCTCCAGTGCCCGTGCCTGCGAGGCGCTCGAGTGCAGGAGAAGGAGGAGGAGAGAGAGGAGTGCAGGAGTGGAGGGGCAAAGGAGGAGGAGGAGGAGGGGGAGGAGGAGGAGGAGGAGGAGGAGGAGGACTAGTGTAAACTCAAGAGTCATCAACGATGTTGGAATCAACCCTCCCTCCAAGTTCCCTCTTGATAGGCCCCTACAACGGTTCATTTCCACCGAGGGAACTGCCTCGTTGGAAGACAACCGTTTGAAGACCTTCCAATATGCCAAACCATGGTTCTCGGGATTTCCACGCCACGGATCAATTTGATTGCTGCGTCCTGACGATCTGGAAACGTGCCAGAACGCTATTTTTGAGACTTCAGCGCAGCGAATCAACATAATCCTGAATCATTCCAGACCACAATTTCTGATACGCTGCTCATTGGAATCCGTGAAAATTTTGTAAGTTTTCAAAACGAAAGTGCGCGGCGCTAAGGCGAGAGCCACATTTTGAAAACGACCCGCCCTGAATCCGTGACACTCTCGCAATTGCTTATATAAATAATGTGCGCACGGCGAGAGCCACATTTTGAAAACGACCCGCCCTGAATTCGTGAAACTCTTGCAAATGGTTAGGATGAATGTGCGCGGCGCTAAGGCGAGAGCCGCAGTTTGAAAACGACCCGCCCTCAATCCGTGAAGCTCTTGCAACTATTCGAAACGAGTGTGCGCGGCGCCAGGGCGAGAGCCACAGTTTGAAAATGACCCGCCACTTTTTAGTTTCAGAGGCATGACTGGTGAGGAAGTCTCAGGCGAAACGCCCGGCCCGCCCTAACAACTGGTCTCGGGGTGCGACAGGGAGAAGGTATGTAACAGGAAAGGGACTGGAGGAGGAGGAGGCGGAGGAGGAGGAGGAGGAAGATGAGGAGGAGGAGGAGGAGGCGGAGGCGGAGGAAGATGAGGAGGAGGAGGAGGCGGAGGCGGAGGCGGAGGCGGAGGAGGAGGAGGAGGAGGAGGAGGAGGAGGAGGAGGAGGAGGAGGAGGAGGAGCAGGAGGAGGAGGAGGAGGGGGAGGAGCAGGAGGAGGAGGAGGAGGAGGAGGAGGACAGAATAGGAAGAGGCGGGAAGGCAGGCGGCGAGAGAGCGGCGCCGCCCGTGTCGGTGGCAGCCTCCACGCCGGGGCAGGCTGTTCGTGGAGCTCACGGCGGCGGCCAAGGAGCCGCGCGCCGACACCCCGCGCGCGAACGCCCACGGCGTGCTTCGGCTCTGAGGCGACGGTGACAGTCGGTGGGATGGTGCCGATCTGGCGTCGACCAGCGTCGATCAGCGTCGACTTGGTGTCGATTCGCGTCGATCAGCGCCGATTAGCGTTCACAAGAGCCAACGGGACGGTGGAGAATTCTCCTCCTTCCATTACCGCCGAAGAGGGGCGGGCTGCACGCGTTCGATCCTCTTCGATCCTCTTCGATCCTCGATCCTTCTCGCTCTGCCCCTCCTCGATTGCTCGATCCTCCTCGATCCTCCCCTCGCGATCCTCCTCGATCTGCGCCTCTGGATACACGTGAACGACGAAAAGAAACGGGTCTCACGCACGAAGGTACAGCGACATTACGCGGTGTCTTACGCGGGCCACCAGCGCGTCACGCCACATTGAAGACGAGTGCGCTCACGCGCGACCTTACGCGGACAGCTTACGCGCGAGCGTCCGCGCAGCTGACCCTGTTTCCTTCCGTCGCTCATGTGTTGCTCTCCCCTGGGCTATTCTGGATGGGCCTAGGACGAGGACAGGCCCGTCCCAGAGCTTTCTGGAACGCTCTCGGAGCGTTCCGGAGCGCCCCGAGAAGGCCGCGGGGCCCGAGACATCTCCCAGAGCTGCCGGATCTCAGAGATTCTCGATCTGTCCTCACTCGATGCTGTCCTCGTCCTGGCCGCGTCCTGCAGCCCGCCAGCTCCTCCCGGGGCCAGCGCCGGGCCCTTGCCGCCGCCACGGCGTCCGTGCGCTTTCGCGCCTCCGAGCGCGGGGGAGGCCCTCCGCGCAGGTGCCCGGCCACGGAGCGCCACCGCAGCGCGGGCTTCGCCCGGGGCTCCGCCCGAGCGGGCCCCCAAGAAGCGGGGTCGTCCGCGCCGACATCCGCGCGTAGGCTGCCCGCGCAGGCTCGCGCGTGAGCGCCTCCGTTCCCAGAGCAGCGTGCCGCGCTGGCGGCCCGCGCAAGCCACCGCATGAGATCGCTGCGCCGTCTTGCGTGAGGTCCGTTTCTGATCTCGGGATCGCGTATTCGATCCCCATCCCCATCTCCATCCCCTTCGAGACCCCCCACCAAAGTACCACCCCAGCTGGGGATACACCCCTCGAAACCCGAAGGGATCGGGCTACATCCCCATCTAGGGGGCTAGTTCGGCCAGTGGGGCCCAGGCCACGCCGCTGGGGATGGGGGTCGGATAAACGATTCTGGTGATCGCCGCCCACCTGAATTTGTCCTCGTCCTGGCTTCGTTCAGGATGGAAAAACACACAGACACAATGAATCGTCGATTCCTCAGAAAATATAGGAAAATATGGGAAGCGGGGGGGAATAGGGGAACATATGGGGAATCCTGTTATTTGTGTCTATCTATTTCTGCGTCCCAGGGCCCCTTCAAGTTTGTCCTCGTCCTGGCTTCGAGTTTTCTGTTCGCCCCCGTCGTCGCCTCCGATCGGCGGGGTGGGCGGCGGGGCGCTTCCGCAGGGGCGCGAGGTCGGCTGCAGAGGAGGACGCGTGGGCGCAGCGGCAGTCGGCCTTCGGGGGGGGGGGCCTCTCGTCGCCACGGCTGCCAGGAGGGAAACACACACACACGGGCACAGAGGATCGTCGATCGATTCCAAGGAAAATATGGGAAAATGTGGGGAGTGGAGTGGGAGACGAAGACCCAGAAAGTATGCTCTAGAGTGTGGTGGATCCTGGGTCCTAGAGTGTGGAGGGCAACACACACGCAGGCACAGAGGACCGTCGATCCCCAGGAAAATATGGGGAAATGTGGGAAGTTCGTTCGGGGGTGGACAGACCCCCCACCGTGACACGTCGATTGGTGAATTGTCCGTTTTCGGTGCTAGAGAGGGCACCGCGGCCGTTGTTTTCCAGACTTGCGCCGGGCAGGTTTGTGCCTGGGATCGATTTCACTAAACCATGTTTTGCTAAAGGGTTTTTTGTCCATCCCCGAGAAGTGGAGGGGGAGGCGAAGACCCAGAAAGTATGCTCTAGAGTATGGTGGATCCTGGGATCAGTGTCTATCTATTTGTTTGTCCCTGGGCCCCCTCAGGTTGGCTGGACGCAGCTGGGAAGACTGGTGCGGGTGGACTGATGGTATCCCATTGCGTGCACGCCGTCGCATGTGGGCATTTGGCCGAGGAGCGCTCCAGCCGAAGCGCAAATCGTCCCCTGCACCAGAACTTGGCGCAGCCCTCCCTCGACACACTCAGGGGGGGGCGATTTTCGACGATCGAGGTTCGAGGGTGGTGGTTTGGGAAGGAGATCGAGGATCGAATGATCGAGGGGGCAAATATGGAAGATCGAGGATGTGGAGCGCGGACGAAGACGACGCAATTGGAAGGCTGTGCTCTTGTTCTTCGCCATCTGGGAGGCCTCTGGTGGCCACGGCTGGATCCATCCCAACTTTTCAGCCAGAACGCAGTCCAGGACAGGTCTTGGCTGAAGAGGAGAGGGAGGAGGAGGAGGAGGAGGAGGAGGAGGAGGAGGAGGAGGAGGAGGAGGAGGAGGAGGAGGAGGAGGAGGAGGAGGAGGAGGAGAAGGAGGGAGGAGGAGGAGGAGGAGGAGGAGAAGGAGGAGGAGGAGGAGGAGGAGGAGGAGGAGGAGCAAGAGGAGGAGCAGTCCAGCTGGATCCAGGCCCCGAACCCAAATTTCCGACGCAGTGTTTGTCCGAATGCCGGGGCTTTTCCTCGGTTTTGTCCTCCAGGGCCGTCTGTCGGTCTCAGGACCATCAGCAAACGGCCGAAGGGGTGTGGGTACGTGCTGGGACACGATCGGACCGGGGTATAAGGTCGAGGTCGGTTCGGGGATTGTATTTTGATGTTCTCCGTGTTTGTTGTATGTTCATGTGCATCCTGGGGGGGTACCCTCGAATTGTTCTTCAGTCTGGCCGGCGGAGGGTCTCATGTTCTCACAGGATGCTCTTTTGTCCTAGGTCCGCAAGTATTTTTTCATGATGGTGGAGGTCTGGATTCCGTCTTGCGTTCCGTACTGAATTGCGAGGCGGATCCATCCGTAGCCACAAGAGGCTCCAAGGAGGGGCCAAACAGTTTTCATCGAGCGCAAGACTCAATCCTTCCCCCCTCAGCTGCCCTCCTCCCCCCTCAATCCTCCCCCTCCTACGTCCGCCCTCCTCCGTATCCTCCCTCCCCTCCCTCCACAATTACTCAATATGAAAATACTCTCCCTCTTCCCCTGATGGCGTCCGTGTGATGGCCGCGCACCCTCCGCGTACTGTTTTTTTACACAGGATTCCCGGGAAATCCCGGGAAACGACTCTCGCTGAGGCGCCGGCGTCATTTTCGGGCCGAACGCCCCCCGCGTACTGTTTTTTTACACACAGGATTCCCGGGAAACGGGTTTTCGCCTGCGTTTTTTTTCAAAATGATGCTCTCGCTGAGGCGCCGGCCTCATTTCTGCTCCCGAATCGTTCCGAATCGTGCTCCCGCTGCAGCGTGGGCCTCATTTTCGGATCGGTGTTTGGCCTCCGTCGTTCAGGATGGCGTTCTCGCCCCAGCGCGGGCCTCTTTCTCGCGCGCCCATCCGCCCGCCACCACCGCGCCGCACCACCACCACCACCACCACCACCACCACCACCACCACCACCACCACCACCACCACCACCACCACCACCACCACCACCACCACCACCACCCCACCACCACCACCACCACCACCACCACCACCACCACCACCACCACCACCACCACCACCACCACCACCACCACCACCACCACCACCACCACCACCACCACGCACACACGCACGCACGCACGCACGCACGCACGCACGCACCAGCACCACCACCCACTACGCACGCGCGCGCGGAGCCACAGGTCCGCTACGACACGCGTCCGCGGATAGAGAAAATCAGCGCCATGGTAAGGGATGGGAGGGAGGGGTAGGACGTCAGATATGACGCGAGCGCACCTAGCTTGCCTCCCTCTCTCCCTCCCTCCCTCCCTCCCTCCTCCCTCCTCCCTCCTCCCACCTCCCCCCCCCTCAATTCCTCCCCCCCCCCTACGTCCGCCCGCTGTGTGCGGAGGCGCAGCGAGACCCCGCCAGGCACTCCTGAGGCAACGTCGTCCGTCCGGGAGCGCTGCCACCTGTGCGCTGAGGATGCCCACTGTTCTCGCGGTGCAGTCGGACCGAGGCAGAAGGTCGGAGGTCGGTTCGTGGAGGGCACCCTACAGCTCTTCGTGCTTGTTGGATGTTCTCGCGCCTCCTGGAGGGGGCACTCTTTGCTGTTCTGTGTATTTCGGCAAGAGGAGGGCGTCCGCCCGCTGTGTGCACAGGCGCAGCGAGACCCCACCTGGCATTCCCGACGCAACGCCGTCCGGGAGCATTTGCCGCTTGTGTGCTGAGGATGCCCACTGTTCTCGCGGTACAGTCGGATCGAGGTATACGGTTGAGGTCTAGGCTAGAGTTCTTCGTGCTTGTTGGATGGTCTCGTGCTTCCTGGACAGGGTACCCTTGGTTGTTCTGTGTGTGTTGGCCGGCGGAGAAGGGGTTCACGTTCTTCAGAGATGTTTTTGTGTCCTATAGGTCCAACTGTATGGGCAGAAGCGCAGCGAGGCCCCACCCAGGACTCCTGACGTAAGGTCGTAGGGGAGCTCTGCCGTTTGTGCGTTTCGGGGCTCAAGAGACGGGGTCAATGCAAACGTGGGTCAGTCAGAGCGCTGGATCTTGCAGGATCCTGCAGGGCCAGGGGTGTACTGACCTGGGCTTGGGCGAAGGATCCTGCAGCATCCTGCAGGATCTTGCAGGATCGTGCAATGCCTGACTGGCCAGGGTTTGGGTTGACCCAGATCAGTAGATCCCCGAGCACTGAAAATGCACACTGTTGTCGCGGTAGTCCACGCCTTCGTGCCATTTCTGCCTCGAGTGCCAGCCTTGTCCGTCTGAGCCCAGCAGAGTGGGTCACATGCATGCTGAGCAGCTTGGCATCGCTCGGACGTGTGCATTTTTCGGCGAGGATCATCGAATAGCATCCTGGACCATCGAGCGAGACATATGCACGAAACCCGGAAATGCACGGGAACTGCACGTCCGAGCGACGGCAAGGCAGCCGCGGTGTCGACTTGTTGTCCAGGCCACGGTTCATTGCATGAATTTGTTTGTTGCAGGGTGGCTTGTGCGGTGTGCCCGTTTTGCCTAACGACATTTTGATTCGCGATGTGGCCTTTGCCTTCAATGCGTGCCGTCGCAGAGCGCAGCCCCCAAGCATGGAGACGCGAAGTGTGACGACTTACCCTGCTTCTCGGTGTTGTTCCCCCGAGCCGTGCCAAGGGGTGATCGCGCGAAGCTTTGCGTGGGCCCCGACGCAGGACTGCTAACCCATGCAAGCCTCCCCCCTCAATCCTTCCCCTCCTCGACCCTGCCCCTCTCAATCCTCCCGCTCTCAATCCTCCCCTTCTTTCTCCCCCCCGTCCTCCCCCCCTCCGTCCCCTCGAGCACCCCCTTCCGCCCCCCCCCGTTTATCCTCCCTCGCTCGATGCTTGAGCGACCAAAAAGCCTCAACCCTCAATCCCCACGCCCTCCCTTGGAGCAGACAGAGCTCCTGGCCTCGGTGCCCGACCCGCGCCCCCCGACCCTGCCTCCGGCCCTCGACCCTCCCCCGCCCGATCCTCGCAGCCCTCCTCCTCCTCCTCCTCGTCCTCCTCCTCCTCCTCCTCCTCCTCCTCCTCCTCCTCGGGGCCCGAGCCTGAAACCTCCCGCTTTGTCCACCTCCCTTCGCCCTCCGCCTCGCGGCCCCGTCTCGCTGGAGGAAGAGGAGGGTGCCGCACTGCAATCTTTCGGCTGCTGTATCACCTCCTCTACATGTACGATGTGAGCAGTAACCGTTGCGTGCACAGGCCCCAGAGACATGCATCGTTTCGATTTTGTGGAGGCACGGGCGCCGGACGTCTTGGCTACTCCCCCTGGGGACCGGTTGTGCACCCCGAGCCGATTTTCGACGCCCCCCGAGGCCCCGTGGGGCTCCCGATGGGGCCGACGGCGGGGACAAAACCTCCGTCCCGACTTCCTCGGCACGCCGCCGTCGGGGCGCTTCGCTCCCCGAGATGCCCCAGAGATCCTCCGCGCCCTCTGCCGAGGAGCTGCCGCCGGCGCCGCCCCGAGCCGCCGCGCCGCCGGCCCCGGCGGCGGCGCGTGGCCTGCCGCGCGGTGCCTCCACGGCGGCGCCGCCGGGGGCCCTGGTGGTGCCCGAGGAGTGGCGCCGCACGCCTCCTCTGCCTCTGCTGCTGCCGCCTGCCCTCCGCCCCCGCGACGCCGAGCCACCAGGCTTGAGGAGGAAGAGGAGGAGGAAGAGTTGGAGGAGGAGGAGGAGGAGCAGGAGGAGGAGGAGCAGGAGGAGGAGGAGGAGGAGGAGGAGGAGGAGGAGGAGGAGGAGGAGGTGAGACGGATGCGATAAATAATAGTACGACGAATGCTAGAATGAACAAGAAGAAGCATCATGATAATAACAGGATGATGATGAAGAGGCGGAGGAGGGGGAGGAGGAGGAGGAGGGGGAGGAGGAGGAGGAGGAGGAGGAGGAGGAGGAGGAGGGAAACGACACATAATAAGAATCGCAATCATGATATCATCGAGAATAATATTCATAATAATGTTACGTATCCAAATTATTGTAATGCCAGTTCAAATAAGAAGACGACTAGTAACAATACGACGAATGAGACGAGAACGAGTAGTAGTAAGGAACAATAGTGGTAATGATACCTATGATGATGCTGCTGCTGCTGATGATGATGATGATGATGATGGTGATGGTGATACTGATGATGATGATGGTAGTCGTAGTAATATGAAGTATAATACTACTGGCAGTAACACAAGTGCTAGTAAGACTTATGCGACGAACACCCGTGATACTACTAGTACTGAAAAGTGTTAGCCATGATACTATGACTAATTGCTTATATTGGAAAGAGCGTGTTCTACCGCTGCTGGCGGAAAACCGGGGGGGGTCACTGCCGGTTCGAACCCCTCCCCCCCCCCCCCTCCGGAAAACCGGGGGGGGTGATCACTACTGGTTCGAACCCCTCCCCCCCCCCCAGTTCATCATGAAAGGGGGGGGGGTCACTACCGGTTCGAACCCCCCCCCCCCTCGAAAACCGGGGGGGGTCACTACCGGTTCGAACCCCCCCCCCCTCGAAAACCGAGTGGGGGTGCGGACAGTGGTGGGGACGGTGTTGGTGGGGACAGTGGTGAGGGGACAGCGGGACAGTGGTGGGGACAGTGGGACAGTGGGACAGTGGTGGGGACGGTAGTGGTGGGGACAGTGGTGGGGACAATGGTGGGAACGGGGGGGACAGTGGACAGTGGTGGGGACGGTGGTGGTGGGGACAGTGGTGTGGGGACAGTGGGAATGAGGTGGAAACAGTGGGACAGTGGAGGGTACAATGGTGGTGGGGACAGTGGTGAAGGCGGTGGCGAGGACGGCGGTGGGACAATGGGACAGAGGTACAGTGGGGACAGTGGTGGGGACAGTGGGGACAGTGGTGGGAACAGTGGGACAGCTCAGTGGGACAGCGGAGGAGTCAGTGGGACAGTGGGGACAGTGGGGATAGTCGGGCAGTGGTTGGGTCCGTGGAGACAGTGGGGAGAGTGGAACCGTGGTGGGAACAGTGGTGGGAACAGTGGGGACAGTGCGACAGTGGTGGGGGCACTGGTGGGGACAGTAGGGACGGTGGTGGAACCAGTGGGGACAGTGGTGGTGAGGACAGTGGTGCTGGGAACAACAGTGGGGGATGTGATGCGGACGGTGGTAGGGACCGGGAGTCGTTTGCTGGCGGTGCGTGGGGGGGGGGGGTCGAACCGGTAGTGACCCTCCTCCGGTTTTCCAGGGGGGGGGGGGGTTCGAACCGGTAGTGACCCCCCCGGTTTTCCAGATCCGGAGGGGGGGGGGGGGGTTCGAACTGGTAGTGACCCCCCCCGGTTTTTCGAGGGGGAGGGGGGGGAGGGGTTAGGGGAGGGGGGGGGTTTTGCCGGGGGAGGGGGGGGGGAGGGGGGGGGGTCCAGCAGGGGGGGGGGGATTTTCGGAGGGGGGGGGGGGCGACCCCCGGGTTCCGGAGGAAAAGGCTGGCAATTTTCCATAGTAGAGCGGCGGTGGATCACGCTCTCTCTTATATTGCGACTTGTGATGCCAAACTAACAATAATAATACCAATGTTACTACTAATGATGATCATGCTGCTCTGACTAATATGACGATCACGAACAATAGCAATCATACTACTAATGCGATGGATAAGAAGAACAACACACAATACTACGAATACTAAGAGGAGGATGATGAGGAGGCGGAGGCGGAGGAGGAGGGGGAGGGGGAGGGGGAGGAGGAGGAGGAGGAGGAGAAGGAGGAGGTGGAGGAGGAGGAGGAGTAAGAAGCGCAGGAGGAGGAAGAGGTGGAGGAACGATCATGATAAGACACTGCCAACAAGAAGAACAACTGTTTATACTAATTATAATAATAATCATACAACTAACATGAATAAGGCTACCAACACGAACATCAACAATACCAGTCCTGCGATTAATACCACTATTACTAACAATAGCACTGGTAATAGCAAGACAATCAATCATAATACAAAGGCGCATCGAGTATTATTTTCAACTACTAACAATGAGTAGCACTAGTATTACTAGT